GTGCCTGAGGGAAACTCCTGTCTGCCTTTATGACCCTGTAAGAATTCAAGCCTGGTGACCTTGCTTTGGCTAGAGCACTGCTATTGCATGGGTATATAACTGTAAACCTCAGAGACTGAGGAGGATTTTGACTGGAGAACTAAAAGAATGAGATGGAAGATGAGGAAGAGCCAGATGGGGAAGAACGAGATGAGAAAGACCAAGATGGGGCAGAGAACTAAGATGAGAATTAAGATAGAACATAGAGGGGACAGCAGGTAAGTATAGAGAGAAATCCGGCAAGAAAGGATCAAGGCACAGGAACAGAACTGAAGTTATGTAGATAGGATTTTATCTCAGAGGAATAAAGTAGATGGACAAAAGAGCTTAGTGTACTTAGATTCTTTTCTCAAAAATAATTCTCGCCGTAGCTTCTCTTCTGGGCCCCTGGAACCAGCCTTAATAATAGTCAAGATGTTTATTTAGTCAGAGTTGCTCAGACCAGTGTGAGTGAGCCACTGTACCCAGCACAATATTATTATTATTATCACCATTACTGGGATCTTGCACACCTAGGGCCTCACACATTGTCTTAGTCACTGTTCTGTTGCTGTGAAGAGACACTATGACCAAGGCAACTCTTTTATAAGACAGCATTTAATTGGGGGCTGTCTTACAGTTTCAGAAATTAGTCCATTACCATGGCGGGGGCCATGGTGTCATTCAGGCAGACATGGTGCTGGAGAAGTCGCTGAGAGTTCTACATCCTTACCTGAAAGCTGAAAGAGAGCCTGGGCCTGGCATGAAAGCCAGGCCTCACAGCCCACCCCTAGTGACACACTTCCTCCAACAAGGCCACACCACTTAATCCTTCTAATCCTTTCTAATACTGCCATTCCCTGGTGACTAAACATTCAAATATATGAGCCTATGGGGACCATTTTTATTCAAACCAACACACATATCCTAGACAACTGTCATTTTATGAGGAAGAAGGGAGGGAAAGAAAGAAAGAAGGAAGGAAGGAGAATGAGACCCACAGAGAGAGGAATCAGATTTTGGCTCAAATAGTAAGTCTGGGCTTAGGGTTTGTTTTGTTTTGCTATCTAAAGATTTATCTTTCTGTAATGTGTGTGAGTGTTTTGCCTACATGTATGTCTGTGCACCATGTGTGTGCAGTGACCATGGAAGGCGGAGAGGGTGTCAGATCCCCTGGACCTGGAGTTACAGACGGTTGTGAGTGGAGCAGCCAGTGCTCTTCACCATGGAGCCATCTCTCCAGCCCTCTCCCTATTGAAAAAAAAGTATATAGAGTGTGTGCATGTGGGGTGTGTGTGTGTGTGTGTGTGTGTGTGTGTGTGTGTGTGTGTATACCAGCTTGTGTGAAGGTCAGAGGGCAACTTGCAGGAGTCAATTCTCTTCCTCCATCATGTGGGTGCTGGTGAAACCAGGTCATCAAATTTAGAAGCAAGCACCTCTACCCACTGAATCATCTTGCAGGCCCAGTTGCCTATTTTGTATTACATTTTCTTTCTTCTTGCTGACCATTATGTAGTGTGTGTGTGTGTGTGTGTGTTTTGTGTATTGTGTATTGTGTATTGTGTATGTGTGTGCTTTAATTTTGTTTTGAGATAGGTCTCATCATGCTGCCTAATCTGTCTCAAGCTCCTTGAAGCTTTTTTAAAAACTAAATTTACATAATTAGATTAGCACAGAGAGGCAGTCTGTTGTAGGCAGAGTTTTCCTGTCCCACAGCCGCTCTCAAATAACCAGCAGCCACTTCCCAAATAACTGACTCAGAGACTTAATATAAATTATAAATGCTCAGCTGATAGCTCAGGCTTGTTACTACCTAACTCTTAGATTAACTCACTTGTTTTGTTTTGTTTTTCGAGACAGGGTTTCTCTGTGTAGTTTTGGTGCCTGTTCTGGAACTCATGCTGTAGACCAGGCTGGCCTTGAACTCACAGAGATCCGCTTGGCTCTGCCTCCCGAGTGCTGGGAATAAAGGTGTGTGCCACCGACGCCCAGCTTAACTCATATTTTTTTTAATCTATGCTTTGCCACGTGTCTCATGACTTGTTACCTCATCTTTCTACAACTTCTGCTTCCTTGGCAGCTGGCTGGCGTTTCCTTTGACTCCACCCTTCCTCATCCTATCATTCTCAGTTTGATTTTCGCACCTAACTATCCTGTTCAGCCTATTGGCCAGTCAGCTTATTTATTAAACCAATCACAGTGACAAATATTCCCACAGTGTACAGAAGGATTATTCCACAGCAGTCTGTCATGGAGCCACGAAACTCCCAGCAAATGCTCCACATTGGCTGAATGGCCCTTCCCATTACCCTTCCTCTGAGGTGTGTCTCTGTGCAGGTCTCCCTGGGGCTCACAGTATTTTGGTTTCTGGTGAGTCCTGTGAGGCCCTGTAGGCTGCATGCAAAGGAACTGGTCAAACCTGCCAGGCACCTTTCTAGCTGCAGTTCTCAAGGGGCTGGCGTCATCATTCCCATTCACAGTGAGGAAACTGCAATTTGAGGCAGGGCTTTGCCCATGCTCACACAGCTATCAGAGCTGAGGTGTAAGCCTGTGAGTGCAGGCTTTCAACCAACTATGGCTTATTTATTTATTTATTTATTTATTTACTTGCTTACTTACTTATTTGCTTCTTTCTTTCTTTTTTAAGATTTATTTATTTATTATGTATTCTGCTTGCATGTGTCCCTGCAGGCCAGAAGAGGGCACCAGATCTCATTATAGATGGTTGTGAGCCACCATGTGGTTGCTGGGAATTGAACTCAGGACCTCTGGAAGAGCAGTCAGTGCTCTTAACCGCTGAGCCATCTCCAGCCCTATTTCTCTTTCTTTTCAAGAATCTTTCCATCGCCCTTCATTTCCAACCTGGACCAGTTTACTTCCATCAAGCAGCTGATACCAGACTTAGTGATGATGCTTGATTAGCGTAAGGCACTTTAGTCCAGAACTCCTGGACTCCAGTCATCCTCCTGCCTCAGTCACTAGGCCCAGCCCCAACAAACCTTCTATGTAAAAACTGTTATTTCCAATTTACTGACAAGAAAACTGAGGCCCAGAAAGGTGACGTGACCTGTTTAAACCGAATGGTTCTCAGAGTCAATGTGGATCTGTTCCTTTTTTATTGGTGGGCTATCTCTTCCTAAAGGGAGGGATTGTTCTGTTTGTTTGTTTTTTTTTTAAATAACTTTTATTATTTAATTAAAAATTTGTTGCCAGGTGGTGGTGGCACATGCCTTTGGGAGGCAGAGGTAGTTGGATCTCTGTGAGTTCGAGGCCAGCCTGGTCTACAGAGAGAGTTCCAGGACAGCCAGAGCTACATAGAGAAACCCTGTCTCGAAAATTAAAAAAAAAGTGTTTGTTTTGCCTTCATGTATGTATGTATATCATATGCATGCCTGGTGCTCACAGAGGCCAGAAGAGGGCGCCAGATCTCCTGGAATTGGGCTTACAGATGATTGTGAGATGCTGTGTGGGTGTTGGGAATCGAACCTGGGTCCACTGGAAGAGAAGCCATGCTTTTCACCACGGAGCTGTCTCTATAGCCCAGTGGCTCTCCACCTTCCTAATGCTTCGACCCTTTAATACAGTTCCTCACGTTGTGGTGACCTCTCCCAACCATAAAAATTATCTCCATTGCTACTTCATAACTGTAATTTTGCTATTGTTATGAATCGCAATATAAACATCTGTGTTTTCTGATGGTCTTGGGCAACCCCTGTGAAAGGGTTGCTCAACCGCAAAGGGGTCACGACCCACGGGTTGAGAACCACTGCTCTCACCACTTGAGGTTTTTTTGTTTTGTTTTGTTTTGGTTTTTTGAGGCAGGCTCTCACTATGTAGCCCTGGCTGTCCTAGAACTCACTATGTAAACTGGGCCTCACAAAGAGCTCAGCCTGTTTTTTTATGGCCTGAGTGCTAGGATTAAAAGCATGGGCCACCATGCCCCACCAAAAAGGGATTTTAAAATGTCCAGTTGAGGGGCCAGTGAGACAGCTCAAGAGGTGAAGGTGGTTACTGCCAAGACTGACAACCGGAGTTTGATCCCCAGGTCCCACATGAGAGCAGGAAAAAACTAATTTTGTCTGGTTTCATCTGATCTCGACACATAGCTACGGCATCATGCACCCATATTCCCCACGCTATAAATAAATGAATAGCTGAGTTGGTAAAGTCCTTGCTGCGCTACCAGGAGGACCCAAGGAGGAAAGCAGGGCGTGGTGGCATGTGCTTGCAAACCCACGGTTGGGGAGGCAGAGACGGGCAGCCCCCCGGGACTTGCTAAGCCAGCCAGTCTCCCTGTATGGCAGCTTCCAGCTCAGGAAGCGGGGACCACAACAACAAAACCCATGGTGGACTGTGACTTAGGAAAGACACCTGAGGATGGCCTCTGGCTTCCACATGCATGCACACACAAGTGTGTGTGTGTGTGTGTGTGTGTGTGTGTGTGTGTGTGTGTGACTTGTGTGCAGGTGCCCATGGAGGCCATTGGCTTCAGGCTTCGGATCCCATAGAGTTGGAGTTGTAGGTGGTTGTGAACAACCTGACATGGGTGCTGGGAACTGAACTCGGGTCCTCTGCCAAAGCACAGCACGCTCTAACCTCTGAGTCATTTCTCCTGACCCATTAATTTTTTTTTAAATTACATTTATTGTATGTGTGCGTGTGTGTGCATTCACTACGGCACGCAAGAGGAGCTCAAAGGACTACTTGCAGGTGTCCGTTCGCTCCTTCCATCACGTAGGTAGGTCCCAGAAAGAGAAGTGAGATTTTAAGGCTTGGCCGCAAGCGACTTTACCCGCTGGCCCACGCCCCTGAAGCTCTCATATCTGTGTCCTGAAGGATTCGCAGACCCGCTGGAAAAGCCAGAACCGGAAGCAGTCGCGCCGCCGGTAGTCGCGTCCTCGGTTGCTAGGACACCTACCCGGAAGTGGAGCGCTCTCGGCCGACTGGTTGTAGTAGAGGGACCAGGCCGGGTCCTGTGCGCCGTGGGCGTGGCCGCGCGTGGAGATTGCGCACGCGCGGAAGGGCGCGACGGTGGCGCATCAGGGCGGTTTAGCTCCTGCTACCCAGTCCCGGCCTGCACCTCTCAGCATCCCTCTTCGGCACTCCTGGGACTTGCTTTATGCCGTCCGATTGCTGTAATTGCATCGTTATCCTTATCGGCTAGTCCAGGCTCTCGGGCTCCTAGGCTTTCAGTGCATTTGCAGTCTGTATTGTTTGCGGTGGCATCTGTTGTGGGGTGGGGGGAGGTTGGGGCGCCGCACCTGCGCCGGGAGCTCAGGGCAGCTCCACTCGCTCCTTGTGCTGGACTACATCGGGCAAAAGTGTTGCTGTTTTTGTTGGGGGGTGGGAGGTTCGGGAGTGGTGGTCCTCTGTGGAGTAGCTGAGGCTTTGCAGGGACTGCGTCCTCAGCTGGAAGTATAGCGCTGCAAACCGAGTTGGAATTGGTGATGCAGGCAAATGTTTGTTCAGGAAACATTTAATGAACATGTTACAATGCTGGCATGTATGTGACAGCACAAATAGAGAGGCCCTGATTTGCTCTTATGGAATTGGAGACACTGGTAGACAGCCACTTTGGGGCGTGGCACCGGCCACCGATGGTGGTGTGGAGAGGAATGCTGGTCACGGGTGTGCAGTGTTATATACTATTTTTTTTTAACTCCTTACTAGCTAGCCTTCCTGGAGCTGTGGGTTGCAGTCTGGTTATCCTTTGCTTTATATCAGGTATCCACGTACGAGTGAGTACATACCATGTTTGTCCTTCTGAGTCTGGGTTACCTCACTCAGGATGATATTTTCTAGTTCCATCCATTTGCCTGCAAACTTCATGCTGCCATTGTTTTTCTCTGCTGAGTAATACTCCATTGTGTATATGTACCACATTTTCTTTTTCCATTCTTCAGTTGAGGGGCATCTTGGTTGTTTCCAGGTTCTGGCTATTACAAATAATGCTGCTATGAACATAGTTGAGCATTTGTCCTTGTGGTATGATTGAGCATTCCTTGGGTATATGCCCAAGAGTGGTATAGCTGGGTCTTTATTTAAATTGATGATTGATTGATTGATTGAGACAGGGTTTCTCTGTGTAGCAGCCCTGTCTGCCCTGGAACTCATTTTGTAAACCATGCTGGCTTTGAACTCACAAAGATCCTCCTGCCTCTACTTACCAAGTGCTGGAATTAAAGGCATGTGCCACCATGTCTGGCTTCATTATTTAATTTTCAATTACGTGTATATTTGTATGTGTCTTGTGAGGGTGTGTACACGCCAGTGCAGGTACCAGTGGAGGCCAGAAGAGGGCGTATGGGAGCCCCTGGAGCTGGAGTTAGAAGAGGTTGTGAGCGGCCTGACATGGATGCTGGGGACCAAACTTGGGTCCTCCGCAAGAGCAGTGTCCACTTTTACAAGCAGAGCCGTCTCTCCGGCCCCTTAGTTCTGTTTTCTCAGAGAGAGCTTTTTTTCTGCCTTTCACTGAAACTTTGTTGCAAAAGAATCTAGAAACTGGGAATCCTGGTGTTGGGACTTCACCAATACTGACTTGTAAAAAAAAAAAGTCCAAGTGTGGGAAGCAGAGAGGGTCCTTGTTTTCGGAGGCTGGACACAAAATGGTGATGAGACTGGTAAGTTGTCTTCTGCTTGCTGTTCCCAGGAAGGCTGTCTTGACTCCTGTGCCTGGGGCTGTAATCACAGCAGGCGGTGAAGCTCTTGGGCCTGTGTCTGTCCTCCTGGGGCTGTAGGTGCACGCCAGCAGGCAAGTGTTCTGAGTGTCCATCTTCCCGCAATAGCATTCTGCATGTTCCTGGAAAGCCAAGTCTTGATGGGCTATGGTTGCTGGTCTCACAACCCTGTAGGAGGAAGACCCGCCCCCACTAGGGCTGGACTTCCTCTCATTCATTCATTGGCCTGAGCAGCACTTTTTTGGTCCTATACAGAGGGAATTTAATTTTGAGTTTCATGAGAAGGCCTCATGTAGCACAGGCTAGCCTGAGTTATATAGCCCTATGCCTGAGGATGTCCTTAAAACTTCTGATCCTCCTGCCTCTATTTCCCGAGGGCTGGGATCGCAAACCTGTGCCACCATGCCTGACGCTACTTGTTTCTTTTATTATTGATCATTTGTTTGTTTTTATGATGAGGTGTATGATGCTCGTGTGTGGGCATGCTTGTGCTACCCCATGCATGTGGATGTCCGAGGATAACTTTGTGGCGTCGGTTCTCAGCTTTATGTGCCTTCTAGGAATCAAACTCAGGTCACTAGGCTTGTGTGACACCCACTTTCACCTGCTGAGCCATTTGCCAGCCCACGTTGTTGTTGTTGTTTTTGAGACGGTCTCTCTGTGTAGTCCTGGAACTCACTACATAGACCAGGCTGGCCTTGAACTCATGGAGATCTGCCTGCCTCGGCCTCCTCAGTGCTGGGGTTAGAGGCGTGCGCCACACCACCTGGCACAGTTCATTAGGTACTTACTAAGTACTGTTCCTAGACACAGTTCATCAGGTAGCACTTAGTACCTACTGCTGCTAGACACAGTTCTGGGGCTGGGGATTCAGCAGGAGGTGTGGCCTGGCTGACACATCTGTGTAGAGACATACATGAAGCAGAGTAGTGGATTTCAAATTTGAGTATGTGTGAGCATCATCTGAGCGCTCCCTGGGTCCTCCTCCAGAGAATCCGAGTCAGTACATCACCAGTGGGTGAAGGCAAGGACCGATCTTACACCCCCTCCCCTTCCTCCTTGGCCTCCTGTTTTCCTTTCCTTGTGCTGGGGATGAACCCCGGGGCCTCCTGCATGCCAGGCAAGTGCTCTACCACTCAGCCCCAAAAGGCTGTTTTTGTGACCCGCTTCATGGGATGCTGTGCTGTTAGCACATGGCCCGTAGGCCACACCCTGAGTAAGAGCCAGACTAAGCCGGTGAGCAGCATGCATGCCAGGGAGAAAATATAGTAACTCCCCGTATCCGTGGTTTCACCTTCTAAGATTTCAGTTTAGAAGGTCCCAAAAATAAATAAATAAATTTTTACCTAAATATAAATAAATAAATAACGGGTGTTTTTGCCTATGTGTCTTATGTACCATGTGCATGCAGTGCCTGTCGAGGCCAGACGAGGGCGTCAGATTCTCTGATACAGAGTAAGTTTTGAGTGGCAGTGTGGGTGCTGGGAACCAAACCCGGGTCCTCTACAAGAGCTACCCGTGAGTCATCTTAACCACTGAGCCATCTCTCTGACCCCAAGAAATACATGGTTTTTTGAGTTGTAAATGGTCCATCATTCTGATTACTGTTACGAAGTATTGCGCTGTAGTGCCTTGTCCTGCCTGTAACAGTAAGTGTAGCCACTGTATATATGGTCTCATCTCAGAGGTCAGCCTCTGTAGCCACCTCTGCAATCAGATTGACCCTTGATCTGTCACAGTGTGTCTACTCATGGTCACGGTCCTCTCAGTGTAGGAGGGATGATCCTGGCTTTCCAGGAAATGTTCCCTTTAAGTGAAGAAGTACAAGCTTGTCACAGATGCGTGGATGTAAGAAACACAGTTTATGCAGGGCTTTGTCCTTACCATAGTTTCAGGCATCAACCAGGGTCTTGGAATGCATCCTCTGTGGACAGTGGAGAGCTGTAAGTGACTGTGACATTGTCAGGAAGACTGAAGCTGGGCAGTCAGGAAAAGCTCCTCTTGGGAGAGGACATTTGAGAAGCGGCCAGGTCTGCAAGAAGATCACAGGCTCCAGACGTTCAGTTTGGTGCACGTGGGCTGAAAGAACGCAGGAGCTGGAGAGGGAGGAGTAGGGGGTGATGGGAGATGGGTCTGGGAGGTGGTGGGACAGGTAGGGCTGGGCTGGCCTTGTAGATCATGAGCAGACCGCTAGTTTTATTCTGAATACCGTGGCCCAGAAGCTGGAGGCGGAGGAGCTGGTAACTTCACTTGATGTCTGTGTCTAAGAACCAGAGTTCTGGGTGGCACTAGGATGAGGGCAGCCGTAAGCAGGACCATCAGGTGCTATTTTTATTAATTTTTATAATTTGTGTGTATGTGCCTCTATGAGTATATGGGCATATGTGTGTGCAGTGACCACGGAGGTTCTTTCTTTCTTTGTTTTTTTTTTTTTTTTTTTTGAGACAGTGTTTCTCTGTGTAGTTTTGGTGCCTGTCCTGGATCTCGCTCTGTAGACCAGGCTGGCCTCGAACTCACAGAGATCCGCCTGGCTCTACCTCCCGAGTGCTGGGATTAAAGGCGTGCGCCACCGCCGCCCCGCTTTGATTTACTTTTTGAGTAGTGTCTCGCTGCATAGCCCAGCTGTCCTGGAACTCACTCTGTGGACCAGGCCAGCCTCAAGCTCGCAGTGATCCACCTGCCTTTGCTTCCCAAGTCCAGGGGTTGAAGGTACCAGGTGGCTGTATTTTCTTTGGAGATGGGATCTCAACCCTGGCTGGCCTGGATCTGACATATAGACCAGACTAGCCTTGAACTTGCATGGGATCTTCTGTCCCTGCCCTCTACGTGTTAGGGTGACTCACCATGGGTGGCTGCTCCAAAACCTTGATCATGAAAGAGCCTGTTCTGTGCACGGCCGGCCGTTAACCAAGACGCCACCCCTGGGTGTTATTTGCAGGTTAAGTTTTGCTCTGTAACTGTAACTCGGTTCTGTGTTCCCCGTATGCTTCTGTCAGTGACGCCGAGAGATTCTGTGCACTCCAGGGACTGCAGAAGGACCTATGGTAAGTACTAACACTCCCATGGCTGGGGACAGAGAGTGTAAGACGCCTGGGAAGAGCACTGGGTGGTGGCTTTGAAGCTCTGACCTCCCAAGGCTCAGGCTTGCTCAGCAGGATGAATGTGGGGCTGTACCTCACACCTGCAAGTACCTGGTGTTCTGTGAGTGGCCATGCACATGAAATAAAAATAAAATCTCAAAACAATGTTGGTTTTCTTTTTTGTTTTTGTTTTTTCTGAGACAAGGTTTCTCTGTGTAACTCTGGCTGTCCTGGAACGCACTCTGTAGACCAGGCTGGCCTTAAGCTCACAGAGATCTGCCTGCCTCTGCCTCCTGAGTGCTAGGATTAAAGGCCTACGTCACCACCACCTGGCAACAGTGTTTTTGTTTTTGTTTTTAATTTTTATTTATGTATGAGTGCTCTGTCTGCATGTATGCCTGCACGCCAGAAGAGGGCACCAAATCTCATTACAGATGGTTGTGAGCCTCCATGTGGTTGCTGGGAATTGAACTCAGGCCCTCTGGAAGAGCAGCTAGTGCTCTAACCACCGAGCCATCTCTCCAGCCCCTTGTTTTGTTTTTTAAAAGAGCACGGTTAGAATGAATGAGGTAAAGGAGAGGCAAGGAGATGGGCAGTGTGGGACAGGGAATGAAGATGCCCAGAGCAGGGTGAATATGCAAACTCTTGCTACTTCATCAAAGGTCAGCTCAGGGGTCCACTTCCCAGAATAGCCTTCCTCAGCTGCTCCGAACGGAGCTTCTTCCGCCCTTGTAGCCCTCCACGCCTCTACTGTGGCTCCTGACACAGGTGCCGTTGGGTGCTTGTGAGTGACTGTTAAATTAGCCCTGGTTGCCATAGGGCCTGAGGGATTTATGAAGGGATGGAAGCCTGCCTGTTTGTGGGATGTTGATTGGTGTCTCCAACCCCTCATACTAGATGCCTGGAGCATCTCCTCCTTTCCCATATGTGGTGACCAGAATGTCTCTAGACATCACCAGAAGTCCCTGGGGCTGGATTAGCCCTGTCTAGGAAACACCCTTGTGAGCTTGAGCAGGAGGTGGTTGTATGTTTACTTTGTGTGGTGATGAGGGGGTCCCTTTGGTCTGGGGGTGGGGGAAGTTGGTCGCTAGTGAAGTTTCTCTGTGTAACAACACCTTGGTTTCTTCCAGGATCATGGCGGGAAGGGTGAAGTGGGTCACTGACATTGAGAAGTCAGTGCTGATCAACAACTTTGAGAAGAGAGGGTGGATCCAAGTGACAGAGAATGAAGATTGGAATTTCTACTGGTGAGAGGAAAAAGCTGCGTTTTGTGTTTTTCTCTCTTTCTTTTTTTTAATTTAATAAGTTTGAGTTTTCTAAATGTATAGCCAGTTGAGGTGTCTCCACCTTTTACGTTTGTTTGTTTGTTTTTGTTTTTGTTTTTCAAGACAGGGTTTCTCTGTGTAGCTTTGTAGCCTGTCCTGGATCTCACTCTGTAGACCAGGCTGGCCTCGAACTCACAGAGATCCTCCTGGCTCTGTGTCCTGAGTGTTGGGATTAAAGGCGTGCGCCACAGCCACCCGGCCACCTTTTCTGTTTCTGTGTGAATAACCTGAGCTCAGTGTTTGGAACCAGTTAACTAAGGAGCTTCTGAGGCGCTGGCCAGGCCAGGGACCCGTGTCATGTCAGTCTCTCAGGGACCAAACTGATGCGAGGAGCTTGTGGCTGGGAGCGTCCTCCAGGGTTTGTCATTGGCAGCTTCGTCCAGCAGGACCAGGTTTTGGGGCTTGGCCTGCACTCTGGACCACTTCACTGAGACCTTTTCCTCAGATGTTGTATCTGCTAGGTCTCTGTTCTCTCTTGGCCAGTGATCTGCCATCTTTGTCCTTGTCCTCTTTGGGTGGCATGGTGAAGCCCGGAGCCAGTCTCGAGCGCCCCCCCCCCCCCCCCCGCCCCGCCCCATGGCTGTGGTTCAGATGTCAGCCCTCAGCCACTGCTCCAGCACCATGCCTGCCTGCCTATTGCAGAACTTTCCACCGTGATGACCATGGACTCTAACCCTCTGGGATTAATTAATTAGCAAATTAAATGCTCTGTTTTATAAGTAGCCTTGGTCAGATTGTTTTGTTACACAAACAAAAAAAGTGACTAAGACGCTCAGCATACCCTTCACCCACTGAGTTCTAGGAGAGAGGGCTGAGCTGAACAGTGACTTGAAGCTGGCTTGGTAGGTGCCCAGTGAGGTCATTCATTAGACCTTCAGTGCCAGTGGAGGGCACTGAATGCCTTCCTTGTTCAGGTAAGGAGTGTTTGGAGCTCTTATTATTTTACCTTTAGGGGACAGGGGTTAGAGAATCCCATTATTTTGCCCAGACTAGCCTTTAACTTCTGGGCTCATCCAGTTCCACCTCAGCCTCCAGATAGCTGCTTCTACAGGTCTGTACTATCACAAAAGGCTTTAGAGCTTTTTTGGCTTTTTCAAGACAGGGTTTCTCTGAGTATCCCTGGTTGTCCTGGAACTCGCTTTGTAGACCAGGCTGACCTCAAACTCGCAGAGATCTGCCTGCCTCCTGAGTGCTGGCTGCTGAGATTAAAGGTGTATACCATCATGCCTGGCATGGGTGTATGCATGCATGTGTGTGTGTGTATATTTATGTCCATCTGTGTTCCGACTTCCATATGTCTGTGCGAGTTCACATCAAGGCCAGAGATCAATACCTGGAGTCTTTCTCTATTGATCTCCACTTAGTGTTTGAGGCAGAGTCTCTCTCTGAAACCGGAGCTCGCTGATTGAGCCAGACTGTCTGGTCAGCACACCCCATGAATTCACCCGTCTCTGCCTCCTCAGTGCTAGGATCACAGATGTGCACTACCACACCTGGCTTTTTATATGGATGCTGAGGATCCAGACTCAGGCCCTCTCAGGCCCTCATAATTTTCACGAGTGCCCACACACATAGATATGCACAAATATACAAATATACTTAAAATTTTGTAAATAAAAAAAAAAAAGGATCCCTTAACTGCTAGAGAATGTTAAATGGAAATATTTTGGGCAAAGTGAAACCCTGCCTGGGAATTTCTTCCAAGGAAGCCCACCCTATGGGGAGTGAGTTGGGGGTCAGGTTCCATGTTGTCAGCCATGGAAGCTGAGCCCTGGGCTTCTATGGCTGTCTGTGGCTGAGCTCTCCCAGAATGAGACAAAAGTCTGTTTCAGTCCTCACAGAGTAGCAGCCATGGGCAGCTCTTCAGGCTTGCTCCGTGGGGTGGGGCAGTGTTAGGAAGGCAGTCCACGGAGGGAGGCCTGAGGCAAGCTGCCTTGTGTTGCTATTCAGTGGCTCCCTCATAGGTGCCAGCCAACCTTCCTTCCTTCACACATCGCCCCTGTCCTTCTGTGAGGTTGATGGGGACAGTAGCTTTGGTAGAGGATTAGAAGGCACCCATTTCTAGGCTGGGGAGGCAATACCCAGTATGAAAAATTACAGAATAAGAACGAGTCAGTCGACTGTCCTCTTGAGCCCTCCCTGTGGGAGGCCCAAGAATAAGATACGCTGACTTGGGGTCTGGAGTCGCCGTGCCGATTTTAGTGTTCAAATGTGTTTTCTGTGTTCGGATACAAATTCGGTTCCTGACATTAGCTTCTGAAAGGGTCTGTCCCACCTCGTCTGTCAGGTGTGTTAGAACAATCAGCCTGACGGGGCTGGAGAGGTGGCTTGGAGATTAAGAGCTCTTCCAGAGGACCTGGGTTTGATTCCCAGCACCCACGTGGCAGCTCACAACCACCTGAAACTCCAGTCCTATGGGATCCAGTGCCTCTTCTGACGTCCGAGCATACAGCATGTGCATGCATGAGCCTGGCACCAGCCAGTGAACAGTGAATGGACTTTACTTGGGACCTGATGCAAATGTCAAGGCACAGGGTCAAAGCCACCTCTGTCCTTCAGCCTGGCCACAGCCCATCCCTGGATGTGCATTCCGTGCTCTAGCCACGGGGTAGGCTGGTGACCAGTATGGGCTCCCTGGAGACAGGCAGGGCTGTGAGCAGGCACGCACTCAGACCCAGCTCTGAGTCCCTGTTCCTTCTGTGCCTCTCTCTGTTTCAGGATGAGCGTGCAGACCATTCGCAATGTGTTCAGCGTGGAAACTGGGTACCGGCTCTCAGATGACCAGATCGTCAACCACTTCCCCAACCACTATGAACTGACCCGCAAGGACCTGATGGTGAAGAACATTAAGAGATACAGGAAGGAACTGGAGAAGGAAGGAAGTCCTCTGGCAGAGAAAGACGAGAATGGGAAATACCTCTATCTGGGTTGGTGGCTTCCTGCTTGTCCTGGGCCCTAAGTCAGTAGCTGAGTGTCCTAGTGAGCGTTTCTATTTTTGTGATAGAAGTTGCAACCAGGGGTAGAGAGATGGCTCAGTAGCTAAGAGCATGTACTGCTCTTCCAGAGGACCTGAGTTTGAGTCCCAGCATCCATGTCAGGTGTCTCACAACCGCCTGTAACTCCAGCTTCAGAGAATCTGAGGCCTCTGGTCTCCTTAAAAACCTGCGCTCATGTGCATATTCCTAATACACATATACATACACATAATTAAAAAGTAAATAAATAAATATTTAAGGCAGATAAATAAACAAACAAACAAACGAATGAATGAATGAATAAATCATGACCAAAAACATCTTATGGAGGAAAGGGTATTTTTCAGTTTACAACTCTTGGATCACAATGCATTATTGAGGGAAATCAGGTCAGGGACCTGGAGGCAGGAGCTGAAGCAGAGACCATGAAGGAGCACTGCTTACTGGCTTGCTTCCCATGGCTTGCTCAGCCTGCTTTCTTATATGATCCAGGACCACCTGCTCAGGAATGGTACTGCCTATGGTGAGCTGTGCCCTCCCACATCTATCATTAATCAAGAAAATGCCCAATAGACATGCCTACAGGCTAATCTGATGAAAGCGTTTTTTTAAGATACCCTCTTCCAGCAGGGGTGGAACACATCTTTAATCCCAGAAGGCAGAAGGAGGAGGATCTCTGAGTTCGAGGCCACCCTGGTCTATAGTGCTAATTCCAGGACAGTCAAGGCTACACAGAGAAACCTTGTCTCAAAAAAACAACAATAGAACAAACAAATGAAAGATTTCCTCTTCCAGGGCTGGAGAGATGGCTCAGTGGTTGCTCTTCCATAGGACCGGGGTTCAATTCCTAGCACCCATATGGCAGCTCACAACTGCCTGTAACTCCAAGATCTGATACCCTCACACAGACATACATGCAGGCAAAATACCAATGCACATAAAATAAAAATAAATTAAAAACAAGAAAAGATTTCTTCCTCTTCCCAGATATGTCTAGATTTATATCAAGTTGACAAAAACTAACATGGAGTGAAACATTTCAGGAACACAAGGCATTGGTGGCAGACTTTGCCAAGTGAATGGGTTGGCAGGTTCTGTGGGCATCTGTTTTACCTCTGGTGTGTCTCCAGGTAGGTGGGCAGGGCTGAGCTTGGTTTGGACTCTTGAGTTTCTGTGACCATGGCGTTGCTGAGAGACAAACTTAGTATGGACAAGGATGTGCCCAATGCCACTACTCTCTTAAGCTACACTCAGGGATGATGTGTATCGCATGAATCCTAATTGGTTATATAATAAAAACCCAGAGCCAGATATTGGGGTAAATGCTGAAAGATCAGAGAGACAGAGGAACAAGCCACTAGAGAAATTTCTCACCACTACCAAATCCTCAGGCTGAAAGGGAGGGGAGATCCTATCTCTGAGAATCTTCAGACTGAATGCCCCTGAGTCCTCAGCTGAAAGGGCGCCTAACTCCTGTCTCCTCCCGCCTTATAGTCCTTTCTCTGCCCAGCCATATCACTTCCTGTCTCAACCTTCCTAGTGCTGGGATTAAAGGCGTGTGACTCCCAAATACTGGGATTAAAGATATGAGCCACCACTGCCTAGCTCTGTTTCTCTTTTAGACTGGATTAATCTCGTGTAGTCTAGGGTGGCTTTGAACTCACAGAGATCCAGACAGATCTCTGCCTCTCAAGTGCTAGGATTAAAGGTGTGTGCCACCACTGCCTGCCCTCTATGGCTAACTCTGTGGCTGTCTCTGCCCTCTGATCTTCAGGCAAACTTGATTTGTTTAGAGTAAAACAAATATCACCGCAGGTGTGTGTCCCTGGTCTACCAGCTTCTTGGCTGTTCAGGATCTCACACCAGAGCAGAATGCAAAAAAATTTCTTTGAGGTTTTATTTATTTTTATTTTATGTATATGGGTGTTTTGTCTGCATGAATGCCTATGTACCACCTGTGTGCAGTGTCCATGGAGACCAGAAGAGGGCATTGGATCACCTGGAACGAGAGTCAGAGATGGTTGTGAGCCACTATGTGGGTGCTGGGACTAGAACCCGGGTCCTCTGCAAGAGCAGCCAGTGTTCTTCATTTCTGAGCCATCTTTGCAGGCCCTGGGCAGAATTTTAGCACCCAATTTCTCTGGCCTGTCTCCCCATCTGCTATGTGGGAATGGTAGCTGCCTAGCAGACAGCTCACTTGGGGTTTAAGTGATGTATGTCTGTAAAGTTATGTGCGCACAGTTCAACAGGGTCCCCTCTTAGTATACACAGGAACAGGACAGCAGCAGTCCTGTCCCGTAGGTTCAGGGCTGAGGTGACAGGGTGCTGAGGAGCCCTGACCCCAGGCAGGCAGCTGCTTATGGCGATGGGTGTCTTTTCTTCAGACTTTGTCCCCGTCACCTACATGCTCCCCGCTGACTACAACCTGTTTGTGGAGGAGTTCCGGAAGAGCCCATCCAGCACCTGGATCATGAAGCCTTGCGGCAAAGCCCAGGGGAAGGGCATCTTCCTTATCAACAAGCTCTCACAGATCAAAAAGTGGTCCCGGGACAGCAAGACGTCCTCGTGAGTTGACAACCCCCCACCCCCCACCCCCCACCCCCCCACCCCGAACCGCGTGCAAGGTTCCGGTTAGCTGCGCCCTGCTGTCCTGTAGCCTCAGTCACGGGCGGGGCGGCCCTTCCTTACCTGCTTTTCCAGCTGTGAACTTGTTAGCCCCCCCCCCCCCCCCCCCGGCGGGGCTCTATGGCTGAAGACATGTAATTAACCCCAGATTTCCCCATGGTAAGCCATGAGGGGGGGACGTGATATGGGTCCTGGGCGTGGCCTCACAGGCCACTCGGTTCCCAAGCTGCTTGAGGCAGGCACAGTTGTGACAGTGAGGCACATGCCTCAGAGCTGGCGGCCCAGTCCACGCCTCTGCTTCTGTGTCTGAGGGAACTGAGAACAGGAACAGCTCCTGTCCTGCGGGAACAGGTCACCAGATAAAGCCCAGGGGAGAGTAGGGGTGCCCTGCTGGGGGCACCTGAGTGGACAGCAGGGTGATTGGCAGGTGGAGTCTAGTGCACCCCTGTGTTTATTAGCTCTCTTCTGTCTTTGAGGAGTCCTAAGCTGCTTGGCGATGCCTGGAGACCCTGGAGCAAAGCCTCAGTATAATTTCCCAGGAGTGATGATGATTTACCCGTCAGGAGTCCCCAGAGTGGCAGAGGACCCTTCTTGTACAGAATGTGTCAGTCTGATTACACTTTGCTCCAGGATCCTCCTTGGGTGGGTTCCCAGGGGGCTGTCCTGCAGCTCTTGCCGAGGCTTCTAGCTGAGATATCCTCCATGGTCCCACCCCTGGAGAGGTGCACACACGGGGTTTATCCCGTGTGTCAGGGTTCACTCTTGGTTTGGCCATTCTGTAACTCTGGACAGTGTATGGTGATGCTTCAATCCCCACAGGGTCATGCAAAGCAGTTTCGCTGGGCTGGCA